TATATATGTAATATCAAAGCATTTGCCTTGCGGTTTTTAACAAGAAAGTCAAAAATATCACTTTTTACCAAAAATGACAAAAATATTCACCAAAATTAGAGAATTGAAGATATCAACATGAAATGAACAAACCTAAGAGAGGTCTACCCAAGGTACATATACACCAAGTATCAAAGCATTCAGGCTTGTAGTTTTCAAGAAGAAGTCGAAAAAGTAAAACATTGACTCGGACGATGGACAATCACTCATATGATAAGCTCCGCTCGACAAAGTCGACAGCGAAGCTAATAAAAAGCTCAATTTAATTGTTTGTTTTTTTTCATTTTTAAACACAATAGGCTGTTGAATATCAAGATCAGTGGCAGTATAAATCATTGTTCTCATTTTTTTAGCATTAGCCTTGTTTCTAACAAACTAGATGTACAGATACTTACTGGTGACACTTCCTTTATTTCAGGACACCACATAAATCACCTTAATATAATTTGTTATACAAATCTGCACTGGATATTGGTAATGCAACAGTTAAAAAGCAGTAAGTGGAGAAGGGAGTATAGTTGAGGTGTTCCATAGCAACATAATGTGTTTAAAAATAAATTGCCTTACACGAATTTAACCACGATGGCAACAAAACTTTTGAACTTTTTTAATTCAAACTTCTGGTCAAAAATGAAATTTTTGAGGGTATCGCCACGTGGGAACATAGGATATAGCATTTGCTTACTTTTGCAAAGTACTAATGTTTATGTTGAGGAAATTAATATATTCAAGACAATGGAAGCATTTAATTGGTGTGGTTATAATCCCCTCTACATGTATGTATTAAATAAAATGTTAATTCTAGTCCTAACACAACACTGATACAGGAGTTTTTCCAGGAAAGTCTATTCATTTGGAAAAAAAAATGTACTCGAAGGCAACATAAGGATATTGACGTAAAAAAAAGTTAGGGGTTACCAGCCTTATTTTCAAGAAATTGATGGATGTATTTTAGTGGAAAGTCGCCATTTTGGCACTATTACTTTACGCAATATTCGTACTCTAACCTGTTGACATCACATATTATTAATGAGGGAGTCTATACTATTATTGCATCAGGGCCTGCTGATTTACCGACTTTAGTCAAGACTGAGATTTTGTTGTTCTGAAGTATTTAAAAAATCTGGAATTTAAAAAATGTCAAAAAATGCTTTGTGTTTTATGTAATTGTTTTTAAAATACAGATTTTCAAAAAATATTAGGACACGTTTCTCAAAAAGCTTAACTGTAACACACAAAATAATGCTATTTCATTGTAACATGAGACATTAACTTCAAGATTGTACATAATAAACTAATAAACATTGTCATGCAATTTATGACTAATTTTGTCAAAAATTGTAACTAAAAATGGAGCATTCTATGACTTCTTTTGGGTCAAAATTACTATCAGACAGGTCACATTTAAAGACTGTGGCCACATTTTATCCCTGATCAATCAGAATTTTATGGTTGCCAGAGGATCTGCTCCCCAGGGTAAAGGGGCGCATGGCCATGGCATGAGGGTGTTGTGCCCCTGTTCCCCGTGATAAATTGTTTAAATATCGCGATATAATATTTTTAACAAACTCCATCCACAAGCCGCCTGTTGTAGCTATAGATGATATTGAGATTGTCTAAATATCCCAATACATATGTGTTTATCACAATTACCTGGATTTACCTCCATAGACAACACACGTAAGTTGCCAAACTACTACAAAGACGATCATGCACCTAACTCCAGATCCCCCCTCCCCCCCATGCACAATTTTATGTCACCGCCTCTAATTGTACTTGCCATACATCGGGTATACATACACCGATATGAGAAAGGAAGGTTTGGATAATGCATTATCTCGAATGCAAAACGTGTCTGGGTGCAGATCAACAAAATCGGTGAGCATGCTTGTTTTGGGAGGTACGTACCTGCATATATAAGCTTTTGTCCAGCAGCTGGGAAGCCATCTTTGCCTCTAACTTCTTCTACTTTGGCTTTCAGGTCCTTTACCTGCAATTTAAGACAAAACTCAGTTAGATAACTTTGTCGATTGTCATTAAAACACCAAATTCGGTGTAGGATAGACTCGTATAACTCGATGAATCAGCATAACATGCATGGCGATCGAGCATCGAGACTCAAGGTTGAGCGGAGTCTGGAGGGGACTTACCGTTTTAGTCGGCTCAATTTCAACTTTGAACGTTTGCTGTTGCAATGTTTTTAGTGTAATTAGCATCTTGATGGTCTTTCTATGCGTAAATGAGGTACTGCTGGTTTAAAAATTGTCCAGTCCGGGTAAAATTGTCCAATAAATCAACGCATTCGCAAAAATAACACTGTCACAAGGTAATGTCCGCCATTACAGTGACGTCATTTATTTCAAACTGCGCCTGCGTGCTTGAAGTGAAGTCTCGCGAGATACGAGAAATAGTATAGGCGCATGTGACATAGTCTGGTCCCCTGCCCCAATTTCAACGCTGAGGGCGATTAAGAAAATAGGCTGATCCCACCTCAATGTTCCGCTCACCTGTACAGACTAAGGTTGGTATTTTGAAGATGAATATTTTCTTAACCGCCCTCAGCGTTGAAATTGGGGCAGGGGACCAGACTACATGTGACACATAGAGGGCGCAATGCGCAATTTTTTTTTTCACAGACGTATCACCAGATATATGTACACGCCCCAAACACGACCGTGGTACACCGGCTTACGTAACTTTTGTGCAAGAGCGTGTAAACAAGGCGACCGAGGCGTTTGCATTTTCCTAAAGGAACATATAACTGATACAAAAATGCGCAATGTGACTTGTGCCCATTTTCATAATCATTATGCGTCCCTTTTCCCGTGAGATTTTGGCTTCTTTCATCACTATTATTGCCTATACTTGTATGGAAGAATTGTGAAGTGCTGAAAGGACGCAACTCACAGGGAAAAAACGGAGGGTCACTTATGACGACAATTTGCGCAAGTTGCGCTATGGTCCCACAACTTTTAGTTGGAATTAATTTTGGCTGTTTTGTATGAAGTTTGTGTTATTAATTTTTGATGAAGCGAATATTGAATATAGGAAAAGGCGATTTCCACTGAATGCTATGCTCACCGATTCACTTCTTCAGCGAAAACAACACAAATCTATTCTGAATGAAAATAAAGTACTTGTAACATGGTCGTACGCTTCTATCAACTACCATTTCCCCGACCAAAAAAAAAAGAAAAAAAAAAACTTCGCAAGTTTCGAATGGGTAATAGAAAAGAAAATAGAATCTGGGAGCCAAATAAAACCGAAAATCCAGAGGAGGGATGGATACGATAATTGACATCCATGTTATTCATGCATTTACAGGACTAACATGTAAATTACTAAAAAAAGTATTCGACTATAAAGTCGTCACTGTACTTTTTCACCGTGTTTGGAATAGCTTTATATGTTATTTTTGTCAAAAGATCTAATTGCCTTGTTGATTGTATTTTAATCTTTGTATATGTTTTATTGTCCTTTATTTAATTGACTTTGTTTTGTAACTAATTTAATTGTACGTCTTTCAATAAAAGACTTTAGTTGGATTTTCAGCCCTGTCGTTTGACCTACGTTTTGCGAAAAAAAAGCTGCAACATTTTGTTGTTCTATAAACCAGAAAAACCGCATATGTTTAGACACTCCCTGATTTGGGTTTATTAATTAAAAATACAAACGATGACACTATCCAGTTGTCGAAATGCACCGATGTTTACTGTATTCATGCTGCATTCAAGACGAGACTCTCTGTGATACGTCATGTGTTTTTTTTATGAACAGCGCCACCCTATGATTTGACCTTTCGCCTATCGACTTTCCTCGAGAGGTCAATATTGTATGAGTTTCAAAATGGCTACCATCTGCCGGGAGGCACCTTATTAGGCCGCGTTAAAATCACGAAAATCGATTACTGGAAAAACAGGTATTAACTCAGCTGTGGTGGATGTTTTTTGGATATGGACAGGTAAGGACATTTATCGTATATTTCTTCATACTACATCGTCTGTCGTTGACGAAACGATCGCCGTATTGTATGGAGGGATTTCCATGACGTGTGTGTGTAATAGTCTAGGTAATCATAATGTTTATCGAGTCTTGCTTTTCGGTAGTCACGCGCCGGCATTTTTTATCGTCAAATGCGAAGGCGGCGTACATCTATGACATATTTATCGAATACACATCGGGTGTTTAGATTAATATATTGTTAAATTTCGAAGTGTTTGTAGTCGTATTAAAGACAGTTCGTCGCCGCGTCGACTCATGGCGACGTACACAACGTACTAGTATGTAAAATGCATGTTTGTTTACGAACACGCGCTGCGCGACGACCACTGCCCTTAATAATGTTAAACTCAGTGGTTTGCTGATCAAATACTGCAGGGACACTGAGTTGGTCACTCAAATTCAAATTTACATTTTAATATATCACGAGAAAGGTGATACTAAATCTTAAAACGTATTTGTCATCTCCAGTCTTTATCTGATTGTTGCCTGTGTGACAGCGCCAGCCGTGTGAAAGTTGACATGTGAATGCGGCTTAATATGAATATTTCTGTTGTTTGAAAACACTGGTACCCTCACCACTAAACCTGCATACAGGACTAAAATGTCAGGGAGTTCACATTCTCACATGTACACAAATGTGCCCTGTATGGTTTATTCATATGGATATGTTATATATACTTTTAAAATAAAACTGTTATTTGACTGCACCAAGACCTAGTTCGACATCACGCTACACAGGTGACTTGAGACCCTTGCTTGCAATCTGTTTTGGATTCCGGGCAATCAATTTTCTCGTTTTGTGTCGAAGAATTTGACAATCCATACATGTATCGCGTAAAATGTATGAATTTAAGCAGGCAATGAGTTCAAATAAGCTGTCGACAATCATTATCAATAGTCTGTTAATGTCATTAATAGAGTCTGTACCTCTGTCACTTCTTCAGCATCACAACGAGTCAAGACATCAGTGGTGTGCGCTATATAGTAAACCCCTCAATCATTTATCATTTTACCATAAAAAATATCACAAGTTATCAATGTCAAGAATTCGGTTATTTGATGTGGGGTATTTTTGTTAACCATGTGCCTGTACTTGTATTTCAAGTCAGAGATATACTGTCGTAGGAATAATATTCACTGAGTTTAAATTTAGCAATTTTAATTTTGCAGAGATGTTCACTAATTTAGCCTATTTATCGATAAGAGGAAAATATAACCCAGTGAATTATTTAAACCCTGGACAATCAGGTAAAACTAAAGTAATTGTAGTCATGGAGGTAAAAAGAGAAGGAGTCACAGCCAAAATAATCCTTCTAAACTTCTTTTGTTTCAGACAAGTTTAATCCCATAATTCCCTTTGTCTTATCTTCCTTTCACCCCAGGATCGTCGCCGACGCGTCATTTACTCTCAAGCGGTGCTGCGCACAGTACACATTCCAAGGTCTTGTTTTATGGTGTCACAGTAAATGTCAAAGGACATAAAGCATGCGCAGATCTTTTATACGTAGAGGAATCGTGTTTGTGAGAACGGGAAAGTTGGAATTTTAAAAATCAGAGAATTTCTTGTTTAGTTTATGTAATTTTTCATTTTTCAGCACATTTTCCATTGTATTTTTGAATCAGCAATATTGTAATGTTTCGAAACCTTGCTAGTACTGTTTTTTAGTCCACAATAAAGCTTGTTTAATGATCTTTGCAATGGTGCATGGCATGGACCACACCGCGTTGTACCAGAGACTGAATTTTGAGGTTCGAAATGACACTTTTTGAAGTCTATATCCCTTGTATGTCCTACTTCCTACGGCAGTGCGTCAACAAGAAATTCGCTGCATTTTTTTGTTTTCGAGCAATCGTTTCGTTCACAGCATATGGAAAACGATTTTTCGTCTGTAATATGCTCTTCGATTTCGTTTACGTCTTCTGAATTGAAGGACATAGCAGTTTCAGCATCGTAGTCAAACTCATGCGCGTTATCGATCGTCGCCATATTTGTTTATAAGAATTAGACAGAATTGTCACGAAAATCTCCAAGTGCTGCTGAAGGAGTCCGTAGTATGCTAATTCATGCTAATCCTCACTGCGCTAAGAGGAAACTGTCCTCCTTGATCCGTTCAACAAATAAACTCCCTGATCTATGTACAAACAGCGGCGACCATCCTGGTACCTTTGATCTAAACTTGGCTCTGACTCCTTCTCTTTTTACCTCCATGTTGTAGTTAAGCGTGGTTTCAAAAACACATTGTTTACTGAATTCAGTCTGAATTTTGGACCAAACAAAACTAAATACGACATTGCCTCTAGTGATTGATTGAAAAATTTGAAAATTTTCGTCAACATTTTATGTTGAAAGAATCAGACTAGTATAAATGAAGCTATGTTGTGAATGGTGACTGAACTTGACTTTGGTGCTCAGAGGGTTAATATATGTACACATCAATGGTCATCTTTCCTCAACATCCTGCGAAGAATTTCATTCAGATTTTATCCTACATGTACGTGCATCTCCTGTCTTTGAATCACAATTAACAATATTCAATTTCACTATCAAAAATACAGCAGATTAAAATATTTGTAATGTATGGCTTGAATTGGATGGTCTATTGACTGAGTAAATACTGTGTACATTTGACATGTATCTCTCATTTGATCATACTCAGACTTCTCCTATTGTTTGGTTGCATTTATTCTGGTAGTGCCTAGTGTAGTTCTGAAAAGCCATAGTTGATTTGATTCTGTTTGAAGGTCATTTTAACCATGAGAAACACATACATGTACAATGTACTACAGTATTACATGTTATGTTTGTATATGTTCACTAAAAGGCTTGATCATCGTGGTTGTCTTTAAAAGAAACATCAATCCAAACAACATAATGACCCCTGAAGAAAATCCTTTGCTTGAGAATCAAGATGGTTGACTACATAATAATGATATAAAGTTGAATATCTAGAGAATGAAAAGTGATATAAAAAAGCTGTGAATTGCATTCTCCTACATTTGTGGACCTTTTTCCTCAGGGGTCATTATGTTGCTTAGATCAACGTTTTCTGGTCAAGTCAATGAAAAAATACATGGATCTGGCAGAATAAAGTTTTAAAGCCCTAAAACATGTCATCGTTATTTATTTTGTCAATTATTTTTTTCATTAGACATGTGGTCTTTGATAATAGAGAAATATGGTATTTATATCCTCTGCTATATAGTGTAATTTTTTTTATGGATTGTTGATTTCTGTCAGTACTCTATAAGCTATTACATATTGTACACCATAGGACTGGCCATATGCTGTCCATGACGTACAAAGTCAAAAATTTTTAATATCCCGTGTGTTAAGCCTATAATCCTAATGTCAACGGAAGTCATTCAGTTTATTTTCTCACTG